CAGGCCAGATCAAGGCAGACTTATTTGGTGCCCTCATCTGAAAAGCTAATTTACTCTTTAAAGAGGATTGCTATCAGACAAAACTCCTGTGTAACAGCTTGGTTAAGCTGTTAAGAACAGGGGTAATCTGCCTCTTGTGATCAGTGCTTAGCCCAAAGCACTATTCACAGTAATGCAGGTCCCCCAGGAAAGCATGTCAAGTCAAGCATGTTTACTTCACTGCAGGACAAGAGGAGCCGAGAATGGTATGGGGACTCCAGACACGGGACTGAAAGCCTGCAGGTCTCCTGGCTTGACAGACTTTCCTCCACATATCCTTGGGATCCAGAAAACAAGCACTTTTTAAGAGGACTGAGACACACACAGAGTCCTCCATGCACTACTCCCTTAGGTCCTCACCTAAAGAGTCTAAAAGGCCCTGCCTTCTCTGTCACCATCGTCTGGTAAGACAAGTTCTGCAAGGGTAGTATCTTGTTAAGTGTAAAGCCATGAGGTCTCTGATCTCAGCTGAGACAGACAGAGGACACTGCCCATACCTCTCTGTACTAAGCCAGCCAGAGGGGAAGGGGTTGGAAATCCAGGGGCTGGCACACTGTGCTCTGGAGCCTACCTTAGCCATTTGCGGTGCATCATGGAAAGCGCAGCTCTGGAGATCAGTTGCTGGTTTTGGACAAGTTGTCCGGCCAACCTCAACTTTCATTATGTACTTGATTCCAGACACAATCTGCAACAAGACAAGTCAGGAGAAGCAGCTTTATTTGCAGCACGTACAGAAGGGCTCTCCGACAAAAGAAACCTAGCAGAAAGGCAGGCAGTTTTCTGTTTACATGATGGAAAACAGAATCCAAAAGTACAGAGGGGATTTGTGTGTGGCTACCTCCACAGAAAAGGCACTTGGCACCCTTTCAAAAACAGGAAACAAAATCCAAGTAAACAAGTGTCACAGTGCAGCTTCCTTAGTCAGTAAACAGAGACTTGTGTTAGCAGCAGCATAAGAAAGTTACTATCTTCAATATCATACAGCATTCAAGGGCATTCAGATCGACAAGATCCAAACTGTAAAAACAAAACGCCTTTATCCACCTTCTGTGGAAAAAAAACAGCTTGAACAACCCCCCCAATCTGGAGGCTTCCTCTTTCTCCAAAGAAATCCAACGGGCCTCATTTTCAGCTGCTCCCCGGAGGGTGCCAGGGACAGCCCTAGCCCTAACGCCCCCCTCCCCGGCCTGCGGCCCACCCG